ACATTGTTAGTATGTACTGTTTTCAACTCTGTCAGTTCTATCAACATAAAAGATATAGGACTTGAGAGACTTAATAATAGATCATGCAATGCACCTTAGGCACTCCTTGATATCCCTTTCATAAATATTTTATTCTGACAAAGATTAACGTTTTTAGCTTTGCTTCTTTGAGCTGAGTTCTCTACCAGAATCTCACTTTACTGATGGTTATGTTCTTAAAAATTTCCAGCCAAAATGTCTTCATGGCTGCATGTTTGTTCTTCTGCCAGTGTTGTCAGTGTGAGAAACATTTTTCTTTCTTCCTGCTCCATTCTCTCATTTTCCCTCTCCCCATTCATTTACACACATAGATACAGTCAGCCTCCATTTTTGCTAGATTCCCTGAGCTAACTTTTTTCTAGTGGCATCTCATCTTCCAGATTAAGACTTCCTGGTGGCTTGTACAGAAACACCCACATATCCCTGGTTTTCCCAGGTGTATGTGATGGTGTGCTGTACAACTGGATCTACCACTGTCTTGGCAACATAACCTTATGGGTCAATAATCTTATGAGGTACTAATATACGCAGAAGTGTCTTCTTTTCAATAACTGACTGTTTCCCTTTTTATCATACAGCTTCAGTGCTTCTGCTTGTTTTGTTCATTATCAGTTCCCATTTAGCAGTGTTGAAAGCTGTACAGACATCCAAAGAGATGAGTTCAAATTTAGATGAGATTGCTAAAAAAAATCAAAGGAGGATATCAGGTATGTCTGACATGACATCCATGTTTTGTTTTACCCTGTTTTCCAAGTCTTTAGTAGATAGAATAATAGAATATCCTGAGTTGGAAAGGACTCACAAGGATCATCGAGTCCAACTCCTGGCCTGAAGTGTTGTCCAAATGCTTCTTGAACTCTGTCAGGCTTGGTGCTGTGACCTCTTCCCTGGGGAGCCTGTTCCAGTGCCCAGCCACCCTCTGGGTGAAGAACTTTTTTCTAATATCCAACTAATATCCAATATCCCTGACACAACTTTAGACCTTTCCCTTGGGTCCTGTCACTGGTCACCAGAGAGAAGAGATCGATACCCTCCCCTCCACTTCCCTTACAGGAAGTTGTAGACTGCAATGAGGTCTCCTCCAGGCTGAACAAGCCAAGTGTCTGATCTCAGCCACTCCTCATCCAGCTTGCCCTCACCATCCTCATGGAGTACTGTGTCCAGTTCTGTGCCCCTCAGTTCAGGAAGGATATTGAGGTACTGGAGCAGGTCCAGAGAAGAGCAGCCAGGCTGGTGAAGGGACTTGAATACAAATCCTCTGAGGAGAGGCTGAGGGAGCTGGGGTTGTTCATAGACACATGACAAATACTAGCTATCAAACCTAGATTCATATGCTGATTCTTGCAGTGTTTTTCTGATAGAGATTATCTACTTTCTGCTGAATGTGCTAAGCTCCTGGAATTTTCTTTCCATTCATTTGTTATTTTTGTATCTATGTGATATAGATAATTCCCATTATGTTCCTTTTCTTCTTTTCCAGTATCGTCCTACTTGTAGAAAACTGATTATTTCTTCAGCTATATCTAGAATCCATTTAATCACTATCCAGTGTAATTTCATGATAACTTCAACTTTTATTTCCTTTTTAATATTGTTAATAACCTTTCCACGGTCAACATTACCTTGATTTTTGGTGATTCTTCCTTTATACCTCCGCTTCCTGTCCTTCAAAACATAATTTCCTTTTTTTTTTGATATTTCCGTCTATGCTTTATGAGTTCCTTGTCTATATGTAAGAACGTACTTTGTGTTGACTATTCCAACTAGAGGATGGCTTGAAATGACCTTTTACAGTTTTTTCTCTTTGGTGGAAAAACAAATCTAAATACATATTTACTTCTTTTTTTAAAATGTTATATTACTGTAGAGTTTGGTGTTGTAAAAAAGAATTCTCTGTGCTCTATCTGGTTCTGAAATACGCAATCGTACTTTAAAGGTTCTTTTTTCTCAGTAAGCAAACATTCAGAATGAAGCAATACCTTTGAATATGCTCAACTGTTCCTGTATCACTAAGAAGGAAGCCAATTCAGAGCCTCAGATATAGCTGTGCATTTGTGAAAGGCAGCAGCCTCTGAGAAGGGCCCTATGATGTGCTGCTGAAAGAATGTGATTTATCGTATTTTTTTTGTTGCTATACTTAGTTATGCACATAATGTAACTGCATAAAAATGCAGCAACAGAATGTACATAGGGTTATTTGAATGCCTATCCATGTACATGTGTAACTGTGCCTAGTGCACATGTAGGTTAGTATTTATGTGCATGTTAGCGCATAGAATGCCAAAAATTTTACCTCAGACATCAGATTTGTAACTGTTTCACTTTGTATCTTTCCAATTAAACATCCATCTGTCGTGGGAGATTCTACCTGAGAGTTTGGACAGTTTTTCCACCCATACTCCCTCTCGTGTTTTCAGAGGTGAGGAGCGCGCAAAGCACCTGGAGGCACTCGACTCTTTTTTCCTCCTGGCAGAGTCCCCCTCCTGCTGTGCTAGTGGGAAGTGCTGGCTCTGGGGATAATGACAGGCAAGAGAATTTGGGTTTTGTCAGGGTGCATCAGGGATGCAGGATGTGATGTACCTCTCTTTTCTCCAGAAGATCATCCCAGAGAGAATGGTAATTAACATGGAAGAGAGGAGAATGCAACCACAGCAGTTTTCCTGCTTGGGGTATTCAAGTCACATCCTGAGGTGGTTTTGCCATCTTCGTATGGCTGAAAGGAAAACATTGACATTTGAACTGGTCTGATGTTTTCTGGATAGATTTGTGGTCTTTACATACCTGTCTTTATTTTTCATATTCAAAGAAGAAGGGAGATTATGTTTGGTTTAAATGCTGAAAACCATAAAATCGTTAGCTAGCTATGGGTAATAATGGTAACATTTGAAGAACCAGATATGAGGATTTTGTTTATTCAACCTGTATCAGAATCAGATGAGAAAGAGTTGCAAGACTAAGCATCTAAGCGTGATCCTGTCTGCAGATTATGTACAAATACAAATGAAACCTACCTACTCTGCAGACACCCTTAGCATTTAAAGTGCTACAGGAAAGTCACATGAGCTGTGATGCTACAGCAGGATTTGCTACCAAATCCTCTGGATACTTAAAGATACTGCAGAGCTCAAACTTCTTGTGCTTGATATTGTTATTCTTACTCTTAGGAATAAATGTCCCAGTCCTGTATGTCTGTGAAGTGATTCAGTACTGTCTGACTTTGCAGGGAAATGTAAGCAGTTTGGGTGAGAACGAAATTGTTGCTTTCCTGTAGTCTCTCTTGGATTTTGTAAAACCTGCTCAGTGTTTCCCCACTAATTTTTAGGCACCACCAACTAAAATTCATATGCAGTGACCCTTACTAATGCTTGAATGTCTGGCAGAATTAGGGCATGACCTTTGGAAATAATGGGGGTTCTTTTTACTTCATTTGAAACCAGCAGGATCTGCTAGGAGCTCTAAAAATGAGATTGTTACTGTCTGTAGTTACAAGAAATCTGTACTTGAATGTATCTGACAGAGGGCTGCCTATTGTGGACTGTGAGTGTGGACTGTGAGAGTGCAGTTACCTGACAGGGCTTTGGAAATTGAGAGACTGAGGTGTGTGATGGTTCCGCAGCATGCTGCTCAACAAGCCCCACAGATGGGATAGATGAAATCAGTGCACTGAAAGAAAGCCAACAGGTCAGCTCTGTGTCCTCAGCTCAGGCTCAACTGAGAGGATCTCTTCAGATCCCTGCTGAAGGTCAGCGTGAGCTGAAGGGAACTGTTTACCCAAACCATGTCCTCAGGGCAGGAAGACTCTCCCAGGGTACTGCTGGGAGGGCTGGTTTCCAGACATCATCCTTTTCTAGCTGTTAAAGAGGTGAGCAAGAACCATGTTTCAGATTTGTTCAGCATCTCTACACCAGAGGCAAAGCAACAGCACGTTCTCTGCTTCAACCACTGCTGTCAGCAGCTTTTGCAGAGCCACACAGGCACAGCAGATCAGTGTTTGTGCTGATCACACTCTGGGCAGAATGTATTAAATCTATCCTTAAAATGTCACTTACATGTAGGTTCATGTAACAGAATGGGGATTATTATTTAAAGGCAGCCTGTGAGAGAGGAGTTCTTGGCAATGAGCAAAAATGAAACAGACAAGCAATAAAACCTGGCACATTTGTCTGAGTTTGCCACTTGCAGGTCCCACCTTCCCTACCCTGCCAACAAGCCCATTTGTCTCCAGAGCTCTGCTGCAGTTCGTCTTCCACAGAGGATGGTTCTTCTGTAGTGGAGCCAGGGAGCTTGGGCTATTTCTGTCCTGACTGTGGAGGGCCAATACAATCTAATGCCAAGCTAAATTCAATTGTGCTATACTCTGCAAGGGAATTCCAGTTCCTGTTTTGATATTCCAAAGACACAATCCTTGGATAAAGCTTCACTTGGTCAATAACCCTTTGCAAGAGAGGACATCCAGATACTTGCAATGGCATGTTGCCATCTTTAGTGTGGTAGACTCATGGGTGGACATGTTGCTTCCAGGATTTGGAGGAAGACAATGGGTGGAGTTCTTGGAGAAGCCAAGGGAGCATATCTGTGGAACAGCTAATGGCAATTAAAAATTGCCATACACGGTGGCTGTAGCAGCTTTGCTCAAAATTGTCTCTGAGTGCAACAGCCTCAACCAGCAGAAACAATTAAGCTTAACAGGATGTCAGTAAGACAAGCAACATTTACTGCTCTCATGGCAGTGTTTGTTTAAGACCTATGGATCCTTTTAAAATTGTAGTATGGTCTATATATGTGTATGAGAAGACCTCAATTACTTAGAAGTGACAGGGCTAGATCAATAACTACAATGTTATTTCTGAAGCATGCTTTACTACTTCTGGAAGTTAAATATGGTGAGATTGTTTTACAGATTTAAACTTTGATTGGTGTGTTATAAATATGTGTGCTTATATGTTATGTTTGTTTTGCAGCTCCTGATTGCTAAATCACCTGTTGCTCCATTCTCCGCTTTTTTCTACACCATTGAGAAATCAGGCTTGGTTCTTCAGGGTAAGACGAGAGCATTGCTTGTTTTGACTTTTTAATTAGTATTTTAAGCATACTGAATGTAGATAACAGCAACTATTGTTGAAAATGTTGCTATTTATGCCTAATTAAAGCCCCACACATTTAAACAGTCTGGTTGACAAGGGCAGCCTTGTGCTGCATTTACTGATTTGTCTTGGGTTACGCTAAATTAAGTTTTTGCATATTCCCATGGATCTAGGAATGGGCCCTGAAATTATTAATGGAGGCTCCCTGTTTTCCTTCAAGGTAAAGTGGAATGGTTCTGGTAACATTGGTCCTATGGGATAGATTTCTTCGGGAAAAACATACCCATCTATCATGAATAACCTGCTCTAATAAATGTCTTTTCTTTAGCAAGTAACTTGACATCAGTAAAAATACAGGAAATTATTATCTGTTTTCTATATTTGTAATCATTTTAATGCTAATGCCCCATGGTCTTAAATAATCCTCAGATTCTCTAGGATATGAAGTAGTACACTGAGAAGCTGGATATTACCACCATGATGGCAAGGAACTAGGATTCCTTGTGGCCGTGCCCTAAATCACATACTTTCACACCACAGCAAAGAAAGAAGTTCAGCTCTTCCTTTCTTTTCCCCATTTATTCCAATAAATATCCTTACTTTTTGACAGACATTGATGGATCAATTTTGTTGAGTTGCTGTCTGTTGATACGCAGCCTGGCTCCTTATTGCTATGTCAGTTTAACAGACTAAATAAAACTAGTCAGTGCCTGTTAGCTTTTGTTCAGAAGAGACTGTGTGATATGCAGCCATGGCAGTAAGAAAAGTGAGTATAGCTGTTTCTCAGGTTCCAGTGATTGGGAATCACTGATCCCATGAGTGACTATGGACATTTTAAAGGATGTGAACAGTTCTTTCTGATTGCACGTTTTTCACCTTCAAACAGGCTGTACCATACCAGTGACATTTATATTTCCTAATGACTCAATGTGATTACATCTCAGGTGATGCAAAATGTCAGAAAACAAAAGAAGCAAAAGTGTTTTGTGGTGTGTTTTTGTTTCTATTGATACGTCTACATAATGATAATGGGGAGAGGGGGCCATTTGGTGTTTCTAAGCTTTTGGATCCTATACTCAGTGTATTCTTAGCATTTTGGGCATTTGATCTGCCTTACTTGGTAGCAGTAATTGTAGAAGTCTGTAAGAACTAGAAAAAAAGTGTTATTAGTTTTAACTGAGATTACATACAAAAGTTGGTCTTGACATGTTTTGTTTCAGTGTAGGGCTGAAGATAAGCTACTTTTCTATCTTGGATGTCTTCTGTGGATGTCTTCTGGGTTACATAGATGTTTCTCATCATTATAAAAAAAATCAATTTCCTTCTCTGTCCTCAGGCACTAATGTAGTGAAACTTTGGGAAAGAAAGTTTTCCCATTTCAGAAACAGAGAACATTTGTTCAGAGAGGATGTTTATTTTTTTCAGTTCTTTTCTGTGAGCCATGAGTATAGCTTTACCAGGACTGAACCCTACCTTTAAAGAACAAATGGGCCTGTTTACACTTAATGATGATGGAACAGCATTCTCTGATAGAAGGATTTCACTGTATTAGGAGTGTGACGATTGCTGATTTCCCTATATCTGTATATTTCTGGAGGGTAAATTTAAAACATCATTTGCCATTTTTCTAAAGACAAGTGAGATACCAGTTTCTTTAAGTAAATAATATCTCAGTATCAGGCATTCTTTGTACATTTTGAAAGACAGCTAGAAGCTTGTCTTTGTATAAGCCTTTTATTACTTTGACTACACCATTATGTTTCTACTTCAGGTATTTTTCTCCAGCATCGGTAGCAAGGAAGGGCATGGTTCCCCTGATAATGTGCCCCAGACAGTTTTACAGAGACTTGTAAGCACTTACATGCGAGCCATCTCCCTGGCTTGTGCAAAGTAAACACTGCATGTTCTCATCCCGCATTTCAGTGATCATTATTTCTGTGGAAAAAGGAAGTGAGCAAATCACCAGGAAATGGCTGGCTTGGATTAGATGCAGAAAGTGGCACCAGGCTGCCTTGTGCAAGAGAAGCTGGAGTTTTCCTGAGAGTTGTAGTTGGTGCTTCCTTCCACAGAGAAACTGGATACAAGGCAAGATGACAGTCAGGTAACTGGCCATGGATCAACCAGTGAGGGAATATCTCTGCATTGCTGCTTAAGAAACATCATGTAGCAGTAACAAGTGGAATCTGTCCCACAGCCTGACTGCAAAGGCAACTCTCCCATTCAGGCTTTGTTGTTTAATTCAGTTGGTGTCAGGAGGTGAGCACATTCAGTGTGGCTGATGGGAACAAGTGGATGGGTGTGGGAACTGGTGAGAAGCAGCAGCTGGCTGAAGTGCCCAGGATTCTTTCTTTTTACTCAGGGGGTCCCATCCCGGGACCATTAACCAATAGGCCATAAACAAATTGATATCGGAAAATGTGGCTGGAAGCTCCTTGATTAGCGAGGGTGAATGGGGAATGAAAGACAAAGTGAAAGTGTGATTTAACAGTTCCACAAGCAATTTCCATTGCCACCTCTGAGGGATTAGGATGTGTGGAATAGCCTAAAAAAAAAAAAAAAAAAAAGAGTAGTTCTCCCTCTCTTTGTTCTGTGGACTGGAGGATAATAAAACGGCAGGAGAGGCAGTGCGGCTAGTTAGGGATTTCACAGACTGCTATTTGATGCAGTTTAAGGAGCCCTTCTGCTATTGTTGCAGTTAAAATGAGAAGCGGAACTGTTCTCCATTCGCAAAAATCTCCAGCGTCCTCAGGAAGAGGGCTGAGAGCAAAAGGCTATTAAGATGGTAATGCTGCCCCATTTGGAGGAGTGTATCAAAATCCTCTTTGTCAGTGTAAATCGCTGTTCTGTTTCCCTGGTATCTTTGCATCTCATGGCCTGTGCAAGCATAGAAGTTTTTGGAGGAGACTCTAGTGAAGGCAGAACTGCTTCTTTTTTATTGTCAGAGGAGATCTCCCTGCTGCCTAAGGGTGCCATGGAGAAAACTTCTTTGATTTTATAAACTTTAAGTGTTCAGGGATGAAGAGAATCCATTTACTCACTCACTCTTTTATTTCCACTTTCAGGCTAAAGAAATTAAATTTGATGATTCAAAAGCAAGTCAGAGATTTAGCAAGGAAACTCTTGAGTCTCCTCCTTTTCTTGCTTCAATATGCTCTGTGCTATGGAGGGAGTGGACTGCAAACCCAAAAATATCCCTCAATTGCCTTTACATTGCAATACAATGTCATGTCATGTACTGCCTTGCTGTACAGTGACACTCTGTAATAAACCTAATTGTGAGTGCAGAATATAGTCTGACAGCAGATCTCTATTTTGCAGCGATCTTAGACAAAGAGGCAGAAACCTGGATCCAAGCACTGCAAAATATTTGAAGTTTAACTGTCAACTTGTGTATGCTGTTTAAGGACTTGCTGTTGCTTCCCTATTTCAATATGCCAGTTAAAGTGAGTGCAGTTTTACTGTCAAAAAGAAAAATAACAATAAAAAAGCTACAGATTAATTAAGAGTGCAAGTCATAAAATTATTTTTCTCATTGGCAGTGATATAATTTCTGATTTGATTGGAAATTATTAGCTGGTAATTCTGTTCCTAGTGTACCAGTCAGAAGAGATTCTGAGCTGTTCTTGCCTGGTTGTAGTTTTGTTGAAGTTGAATGTAGCACATACTGGGTTAGGTCAGCTGAACTACAAGACGCCACTTAGCCTTGCACACACATATGCAAAAAACATAGGCTGAATAAACTGATGTCAATTTTAATCTATATTCTGTGGGTGATTATCTGAGTCTAGCTTTAGAAGCAGCGGTGTTCTGGGGCATAAATACAAGCTAGCAACAAGCCTAGCTAATAGCAACTGATAACTCTGCTGTTTGTGGAAGTCTCATTCCATCTTACTTAAGTAAATGCCTTCTGTTACTAAGAGGATGGTGTTGTGAAAGAAGACAGGGAACACGGTGGCTGCTTGCCAACTGAAGAGTCTAGTAAAGACTTTTCACTAATGCTTTAACTAAGTAATTAACATCGCTCTTCACTGAAAAAACTCAGAAGCGCTGAAAACATAAGGCAAATTATATTAGTGAGCTAGAACTTGCTTTCAAGTAGTGATTTCTTTTCATAGGGTTTTAAGATAGGTAGAATGAGCAGTTTATCCAAACTGACCTCCCATGTATCATATGTTTCTTTCAGCTACCTGGTAGCTTACATTACACTGAATCGTGTCTTTTAGAAAGACACTCACTTTTGTTTGAAGACATCAAGAAATGTGAGTTCCTAGTTTGCCTTGATAGTGTTTTCAAGTTTTAGCTATCTTACTGCTAAACACTTGTTCTGTATTAGAATTTGTCTGCCTTCAGCTTTTAGCCTCAGTTCTTTTCATGGCCTTCAATGCTAAATAAAAGCTCTGTTGCTCTTAAATGGTTGCTATTTTTCGTGAGTGTACTTGGCATTATGATTTCTCTTGCTATGTTTTACTCTTCTTTTTGAAAGAAAGTTACAACTCTGCAAATATAACCCCAAAACTTTTGTGTGTCACGCTGACTGGCTCTCCTCACTACTCCTAGGAAGGACGGAATGCCTTGTATTGCTAAAGGGAAGAGTTTGGGGTTTGTGCCACAGGATGGGATGATTACTTAGTTGATTATTCCACCCTTTCTCCTGCTCTCTTTTCCACTGCGCACAATCTGTCCGAACACAAACGTGCTCACCTTCCATGTAATGTCTTATTGAGGTAGGTAGCTTCTGATAAGTAGAAACAAAAGAATTTGGCACTTAAAAGAGAGTTTCCTAGGTTTCACAGTACTAAGGGAAAAGTTCTAGTAACAGCTAAAACTAGGGAAACCTTGGTGCATTAGTTTCATTTGTCCCTAAAGTAATAAAGAGGCTCATTTTGATCTCAAAATGGCATAGGGTCTGGGTTTGTGGTGCAGCATGGCAAACTGTCTCCAAAGTGCTGTAAGTAA